AGTTGACCAATAATTACGATGCAGAGGCTTACCTTGATGTTCATCTAAATTGGGTTAGGAGACCAAAAGAGGCAAAGTTAGTTACCGGACAAGAATACGATATAGTCAGACTGGAGTTTTTTTGGAAGTAAATAATACAGCTCAACTTACTGCTAACTTTAAAGGCTTCGTTTATTTGATCAGGTGTGGCTTCCGGAACACGTTTTTTATATTCGTCGAAAAATTTAAAATAGTCCATATTTATTTTAACTAAGGGGGTTAATATAAAAAGAAACGATTTAAAAGTAGCTTTAAAAAATCGAGAAGAAAGAAAATTAATCGAGGAGTGAATTATTTTCTTGAGATATTATATGTGGTAAATTTTTAACTTTATCAAGCCATATAAGCGCGTCCAAATCTTAGTGAGCTTATGAGCTTGAGCTTCATTGATCGCGTTTTGTAAGTCCGATTCTTTATACTGGATCTTAGAGACATTGTGTATATTATAATACACAATTAATAATATGACTTATATAATACATCACATGCCGGAAAAGCAAGCGACATCTATGATGCTACCAAAGAGGGAGAGGGAGTACGCGGATTCTAGGCCATCTAATGCGAGTCCCAGCATCAGCTAATTTGTTTCTATCTTTAACTAAAAGATTCACATCCCAATAAATTATCCCACTTATATCTACGAAATTTTTGTATATCTATATCACTACCATCCACACAGACTATGTAAAATAATATTCCCATAAAGAGAACTTCACTGAGGTTAAGCAATTTCGAAACTAAAATATAAATCGGGGATTAGCAATTGAGATAAAAAGAAGCAATGCAATATTATCACTCTTACCGTTACGACTTATTTTTATAACAATCCACTCCTCGTATTTAAGAAATTCGTTGCCTAATGTGTTAAGATATTTCGAACATCGATTGATATACTGCGCCAAATTACTGCCCACCAATATGGCTGAAGTTACAGTCATGTGATGTTTTTTCTCTGTAGTATTTAACTGCGCCGATGAGGCACGTGTTGACGATCATGATTTTCTCGGCGAATATTAAATGGTAATATGTCCGCTTTGACTTTGAGCATCTACAGAACCGAAAAAAAAAAACGATTAGCATTGTGATGTCGATTTTTTAGAATCAAGCCAAGAAATCAAATTTACTTTATTATTACTTTGCGGAAAATACAATTGATTAGAGATATTGTTGATGCAAATAATGGTAAGTTAGATTGGTTTGATTGGTTTTGTTTGATTTTTATTTACTTGCATGAGGCAGATAAAAGGATTCACATCACCTTTTTATACAATTTGCAGGATCGACTTGGAACACGCTTGGAATGTGCGAGAAAGTTTGAGAATAAATTATTTTGCGCAATTACTATATTACTATAATATTACTGCGCATTTATTTATCAAGCCTATAAAACTTAATCGAAAAAATAATAGTATAAACTTTTTCACACAATTCCACAACCCACCCCATGCAAAAGTCAAGGAAAAAAAAGTCCACCTGTGTCATATGATAATCGTGAAGACTCTTCACACTTCCAACCAATAGAAGCGGGATCTATAGGAGGAAATTGTTATAAATTAGCCATAAAAGTCTGATTTGCCGTAACGAAATTGGAACGCGAATATCTCGACAACCAATGGTCCAATTTTAATGAAGATTAAACGACTGGACACAGCAGGTTATGGACATCCATCAAGCCAAATTTCGTGAAACTCTGATCACTGGGTGCGTAGGTATTCAGACATTTGTAAAGCCAATTGTTTTGGATATAATCACGAAAGATCTTGGAAAGGTCACATCGCTAAAATGGCGTGAGAAATGACGATGATCTGGGAACCTACAAAATACAAGTTTTTGGTTCTGGGAACCTAAAGGAGGTGAGAAATTGATAGGTTATTATATAAGAATTCATAGCTACCCAGTGAGTCCCCTAATGTATTATTAGTACTATATAAGAACTGAAACTTCAACCGCTTATATAACATAATCCAGATGTCATAGAAACCTCAAACCAGTTCTATCAGATGCAGGACTGAGCCGGCTCAAGCTTCAAAACAAGCCAAGGTATAAAGTATTTGGATCACAGGCAGTGTTGGCTATGCTTATAAGTCCAATAAAATTGAATTCTATTGGACTTATAAAATTATTAAGTCCAATAGTCCAAATGACGGAGTTTTTATAAGTCCAATTGGTCCAATAGCCATCACTGATCACAGGAATCCAAAATAGCTGGGAAATTTTACTGTGTCACATAATCTGTAGGGTGAGAAAAAATAATTTTTAGTTAAGATTTGCATATACTTGAATTTTTGATCTGTAGGGTAATTATTGAGAAAAAAAAAATATGATAATAATGAAATATGTACAGTATCATATCTTAGAAATACCCGAATTACTTAAAGGTATATTTTTCTTTCTTAGTAGGAAAGATCTTTATAAGAGTTACACCAGAGTAAATAACCAATGGAATGCTGTATCTATGCATATTATTCAGGAAAAAAGAAAAGCTGAATTTATTAATATTCCCGGCATTTGTGATAATATCCTTTTTCATCTATTTGATAATAATAATAATGCTGAAATTAATAAATACTGTAGTATAAGTAAATTATGGAATAATTCCCTTATATATCTATAAAAAAAGATGGTCATTTTAGTCATCTTGCACAATTTGAGTAATTCTTAAAAGTTGGTCATGTTATTAGAGAGATTATATGGAGAAATATCTCCTCAGTATTCCGAATAATACGAGTCGATCCCTTTACAACCTTAGAGAATCTCATATTATATAGGTATTCAGAATTTCTTAAAATTACTTTACTTAAAAATTTGAATTTATAGGTTTAAAGAAATTAGAGAATTAATTATACTTATCTTAATGATGAATTTAAAAGTAAGTTTATATAATAATTTACAATCACACATTCAAATACTAGATAAAAGAAAATTTGGTATAAAATCCTAAAAATCAATCTCAAAATCATAATTTCAAATGATTATAAACCTAAAGAATCAAAATTTCAAATAATCATAATCTTAAATGATTATAATCCAATCCCAAATATTATTATACTAAAAATACTATTATAATTAAAAAATTAAAACTTAAGTTATAACTAGTTGCAACTTCTTGTAAATTTATTTTAATATAAAAATTTACAAATAATTACAACTTCAAGTTACTACTAGTCAAATTTTTTAAAATTAATTACAGTTTTACCTTTATTATTACTGTATCTATAATATATACAAATTATTTTAAGAATTATTAAATATCAGGTTTAATAATTTTAAAAGTTTAATAAAATTTCTTAAATCTATTAAATTTTTCTCTTAAACTTTGCCAAAAAATTTTTTTTCATAAAATACTTATACCAAATATTAAATAATAAAAAAGATAATAAATTACAAAATTATAAAAATTGTATCTTTTTAAAAAGAAAATGATAAATAAAAGTTAATGATAAAAAGCAAACTTTGAAAAATACCTATAATTGATATTATAAAAAAAGAAACTTAAGAAATGTAAAAGTCATGTAATAATAATTTTTAATAATAGTAATAAAAGATCAACCTATTCAAATTATTCAAAATAATATTATAAACATTTCTGAAAAAACTGCTTCTAATATGCTATTCCAAAATACTTTTTGAATAAAAATTAAATGTATTAGAAAAACAGTAATATCTTTATATCCAAAAATTCTAAATAAGTTTAATATTCTTTATTATACTTTAATTAGAGATTATTTTTAATTAAATCTTATGGCCACGAATTTCTAAAGCATATGCCAATGTTAATATGCTCTAGTATTACAACATTGCATATATGAAGTTCTTAGAAAGTGATATTAAAGAGAATCTAACCAATGATTTTGGTTTATCTTATGCTTTGACAGATTCAACATTTCAGAATAAATTTATTCAATATGCTCAAAAATCCGAACTCAAATCTCTGCGAATATCCTCATTTATATGAATTTGTAAAAAATCGAATTTGACAGCAGGTTGAAGAACTCTTTATCAAATATGAATATGAAATTGAGGCTTTCTATTGGCTCAATAAAATCTGATATTAAAAAAATGTAAATATAATTCCGCAACAAATTGGATGCAGAGAGAGTTAGAGTAGCAGATAGATTATTTGACAAATATTTTCTAAAATAAATTTATTTCTTTATTTCTTCATCTTTATTTATAAACTGTATTTTATAATAATTAGTATCAAACAAAAAAACAAACAGTAAAACAATGATCGTCATGACGATCAACTTAGTTGCGCCACGGAGATTTAATATATGTTGAATTTTTTTATCTCCCAAAGAATTCATAAATTCATTCATTCCTATCAATTTGATATCACTATAGACTCAATTTTGTCATTAATGCGCAAAATTTGTTCCGATCCAATTGTCCAATTGTATATATAATCGAATTCTCATTAACATGCCCAACATTTAAAAGGGTTGGGAATTTTATATTTACTAGATAAAATTACCACTTGTACTAAATTATTATAATGTACTAACTGTACTAACTGTACTAATCATTGTACTAACACTGTACTTCCCAACCCTGTTTAAAAGTATTGCTTTATAGTTCAGGAATTTACAGTGACTAAACAAAATACCAGCCTGACCTTCTCCAAAAAGTAGTTAAGCACAAATGAAAAAAGCATCAAGAGAATAAGGCAATCAATATTAAGGCAAAATATCCAAGAAAGAAATCTCCGAATAAAAAGAAGAGAAACCAGCTTTTTTGTATTCTTTTTTTCGGAAACTGTCGAATTCAAAAATTTTGCCATGCTGATTTTTGTTCAATTATTTTATTAAATCCTACGTAATAATTGTTATACCATCAACGCAGACGATAATGAACGTACATTTGTTGATAAAAGCTATATTAAATTTATAAAGTACGTAACAAATATTTTAAAAATTACGACGGAACGTTGAATATTTGAAAAAAATAAAAAGTTCATATACTTATTCAAAGACAACTAGAAAATCTTCGAGATGAACCTTTCCGGTGTCTGGAGATACCCTATTAATTCTGATTATCGCATTACAAACGTCCGGCACGCCGGTTTGACATTTTGCCCTTTAAAAAAAAATATAAAGGAAGGACTTTGGAATCAAATTAATATATTATCGAAACCACACAAATATCTCATACCATGGTATATTGGCTTTAACGTTTCTCGTCCATACTCCAATTGCAGCATCACTTCGAAAAACAAAAAGAATGCCATGATTCTCATAGTCCAATGCTCCATTTGCAACCAAGTTCGCAGCGATTGCCGCTTGCGTCTGACCTGCAACTCCGTTACGACAATTTGGATTTGCAAGGTTACCGTTGAAACCTAAATTATTCCAATCAAAAAGTAGCGCGGGCATTTCGTTATCGTTTTTGATTGATTGGAGGACGATTTTAGCTGTCTGTGGATTTTGTAATACAATTGGAAGAGCTGTAGGAGCTAAATGTAAAAATAAAAATTAATATTTATAAACGTAATAATAATTTGATTACTAATTTTTATTACTTGCCTAAAGAACACTTTTTCGCGAGTTTCTTAACGTTTTTCTCTTGAATTTTTTGACGGAAAAATATAAGAGGATTAGACATGATGGTATAAAAATTAAAATTATGATAAAACATATATATATATCAAAAATCTCTTAAAAATATCGTTAAAATTATTTAAAATTATTTAAACTCGTTAAAATATCATTAAATAGATGTTGTGATTTATTGTTTTTGATGCCAATAAATAATAAAAACTTCGAAAAAATGCAAGACAAAGTATGTTCTTTTAGATGATTCAGTGATTGATTATTATACAAACAACTTGTAATAGAATTCGTCCGGAACGTGATCATCAAGATAATCTCGTGAAAAAATACGCTGTACGAAATTTTAATGAATAGGGGATGCATAAGTAACTTACCCCTTGTCACTTTAATTTTATTATTATTATAAAATACATAACTCCTGATAATTAACACTTAATATAATCCCGACCCCTAGTAGTATTAATTTTTTTTTTTTTGTTATTTTAAATTTTAGAAGTTGCCAAACATTTTCTATCGGGTTTAGATCGGACATTGATGGCCAAGGTAAATCAAGCACACCAGATTCTTCTTTCCATTTCTTGCAAATTTTCGAACGGTTTTTAGAATCATTATCTTCTTACAAGATCCACTCTATGTTATCTTCACCAAAAAACATACAGGCAGAAGCAAAATCCCTTTTCATAAATAGTATACATAAAAAGAGAATCGAGATTTTGCTGAAAGCAAATTAGTTTATCAAATTCCGAAGCTGAAAAACAACCCAAACATGCACATTTTGTTCATGTTTAACTGTACAAAATGCTTTTTATCATCCAACAAACTACCAAACCTTTCTATTTAAACAGTATAATTGAAAGCTACTTCATCCGTAAAAATAACATTATTCCAGTCAAAATTTTGATGAACTTTGCCCATTTTAATTGATTAAATTGATGCTTTTCAGAAAGCAGTAGTTTGAGATTTCCTTTACAAATTTTCCCCAGATTCACTAAGGTAACATCTAATTGTATATACACTAAATCTAACACCTTTTTTTGAATTCCTTTTGTATTTTACCACTAGTTATATTATGGTTTTGCTTCGCCATTTAATAATTCGTTCATCTTTCTTTTCAGTTGTGCAATATAGGAACAACCTGACTTTTTTCATCGCTTAAGTCTATATTTTCACAATATTTTTAACCTAATAAATTCTGCTTCATATCCTTACTTTGGTCCATGCAGATATTCATGCAAAAAGATTATTTCAAATTGCTTATCAAGCATAAAACTTGTCGATTATCTAACATCTGATATGTTGTATAAATTTAAAATTAATCAAAGTTAGTAGTATGAAAAATAAAATATTTAAAGTAAATTAAAGTGATTCAATAATAATAAAATTTAGCTAAAAGAAAAAAGATCAAAAAAAATAATACTTATTTTAATCACATTATTGTAGTAGATACAATTGAATATTGGTAAGTTTCTTAATCTTTCACCTTTTTCATATTAAAATTGGTGGTGATCATTACTAAATTTACTAACTTTTTCGCTTAATTAGAATGTATGTCATACAGATTAACATTAATTAATAAATGTTTATATATATGATATATAGTACTAACATATCGTATTCATATATTTCTGCAATTGCAATAAGCTTATAGCTTCTTTGAAATCATTAGAATAGAATCACAAAAGAAACTCTTCTGTGATACTTTTGAATCATGTTAAATTTAAGGATCACAAAGTAGCTTTTTTAAGAATTTTAATTTTATAGATCTAAAAAAAAAACCAAAATGATTTCTTCTTTATGATGATTTTGGATTTTTTTTATTTTATTTTTGTTTTTATATTTACTATTAAAATTACTATTGCTTATATTTTCAAAGAAATCTATTCCAAAAGTTAAAACTAAAACAACATCAAAGGCAAAATTAAAATCACATATTTTAAAGAAAATAAAGAAGATCTTACAAATAAGCTTAATTTAATACTTCGCTTAATTAAAAGAGAAGGCATACTTTTTTGATTAGCTGAATATTTAAATATCATAATTAATTTTTGCTAAATTATATATAGAAATATTATTAGTAATTTTGATTCATCTGTATAAAAAATTTTTTATTAAATTATAATCAAATCGATCAATTGAATCATAATAATTTATTTTAATATTGATGTATATTTACTTCAGAAGGTGTTTTTTTTTGAAATTCAAATTGTTTTTTATATATAATCAAAATTATAATTTATATTGTAATTATAAACTTATAAATAAAATAAATTTTGTTATAAATAAACAAAAATTAGTTAGATATAAAGATCATTTTTACTTCAAAAAATAACTTTTACAAAATAACCTTTTTTAAAAAAAATAATTTCAAAATGTCTGCACAACTTTCAACAATTCTTTACATTTCTGAAAATATTTCATTTACTTTAGATATTTGGACTTCTCCTTCTACAAAATCCTTTTTAGCTATAATGAATAGGAATTACAACATACACTTATAGATTTTATTCAAAGATTTGGTAAACATTTAGGTGATAGTATTCAAAATACATTTGTTTTGATTTTAAATGATTTATCAATTAAAAATAAGGTAAATTATTATTATTA